TAATAGTGTTAACTAGTGCAATTGACAGGGATGTGGAGATCAGGCTTTCAGAATAAAACCTGTTTCTTTACATGTGTGAATTAAACAGTATACAACTAATTAGTATCTCCGGTTAGGTTTATTTTGACATTTCAATGTGCATTATAAGGCATACAGCATTTATTCTGCATTCTCTATAAGAAAACAAAAGCCCCAAACCTACAGCATATTGTTACATCAACCACAAGACATCACAGACTTGAAATCTAAAAAAACTCTAAAACATTAAAACCTACAAAGGCACCATGTCCATCCAAAAAAATATTCCACAGTAATATATTACTGTATATTATTGGTTTAAGGTTTTGTATTCCATTAAGTCTAAATCCACGATCCAGGTTTTCCATGGATCTTCATGGGTTGAGGAGTCCAGTGTTTATGTAAACAGGCCCCCCCTGGCTCTTGCCCTTTCCTGGGAGTTTGTGATGAGAAACAAAGGCGCGATGGACCTCTCTTGCTTCATCTGGAGGACTACCTCTTTCTTCGGCCTGCACGTTTCATGAGAGAGCTCCTATGCAGGGGAGAAGCAGTCCGTCTACATCCTCCTCAGGGATCAGGGCACCCAAGAATGAAATTAACAGCAACAGCTAAGTGAGGGGGGCGTGGGTGATATTCGCTCCATTGAAGCCTCCCTCTATCAAAACCCATCTGATTTTCGTGTTTCGTGAGAACTTTGGGGTGTGCAGGTCTTACCTTGCTGCCTGAAAGTGAGATAGGCTTTACTTTGTGGTATTCTCCTCATTGAAAAAGAAACTGAAGAGTGTGGCTTAAACAGACAAATGATTTTGTGAGCAGCAGGGGAAACTTTGTAGTGGTTAGGTCCCAGCTGTGAAACTCAAAATAGAAAAGAGTAATCACAACGTAAGAACTCCTCTATTACCCCACTATTACACTACTCTCTATTGAGATTTTGCTTTGTGCATCTAGATGTTTCATGCTTTGCATTTCTTGTATTGTTTTTCATTCCGATTTTATCTTGCACTTTGTAAACTCTTGTACAGCACTAAGTACTACAGTGGTTATTGAACTTTATTGCAGTTCTGTAACAATATATTTCTATGTACAGGGTACATACAGTTTAGGGTAGATCTTCTCTTTAGTATCAATTTAGGAATAAATGTTTTCTGAAGTAAGGTTTGACCCTGGACACAGCATTCTGTACATTTTCTGTTTCCTGCAGAGCTGAATAGATTCTATTTGTTCTATGGCCAGAGGTGACGGATGCGTCTTGTAGCTACAGAGGCAAGTTTAGACACAGCCATTTCATTGCCAGCAATTACTGCTGCACGCTGCATTGCTGTGCATTTGACCAATACATTTTGATTGATTGAAGTGCCTGTCCTTCCTGTTCACTGCTAACTCCTTTCAACAGCCACTCGGCCTCAACGGTGCTCGACAGTCATCATCATCGTTTCAGATCTTTCTCCCTCCTTTTTTAAACTACGGACTCCACTGTCGCCCCGAAAATGGTGACTATTTGGGGTATGTTTTTTCCCAGAAGCCAGTTAACCTACCAGTAAGTCATTGGACTGTGGAAGGAAACTGGAGGAAATCCACACAAACAAAGGCAGAACAAGGGAAAACCAGGGAAACTCCACAGAGAAAACACCCCAGGTACAGGATTGTTAACCACCCTGCTACTGCGATGCCCCCATTTGAAATCTCTGCACTTAAATATCTGATTTATGAATAATATTATATTCACGGACATTCTGGGCTTCAAAAATGTACGTACTTCAATGCATTTCTTCCTGGGTGTTGCTTGTGAAAACTATAAAACAAAGCTTTGGATGGGACTTTCCCTTCAAACAGTACAATTCTAGTTAATGTTTTATTTTAAGATTTAACATTTAAATGTTAACTCCCTTCTTCCTCTGGCAGCTCAATTATTTTAGTTAATATGTAGCTTGCCTCCGTTGCAGTCATGAACAAGTGCATGGCTTTTGCTCTGTACAAAAATGCAGCAGGTTTGATGTCACGTCGAGACACCCATGCCTCAGCATTAGTTTAACCAGTGGTACGGTACCTTTCAGCTGTGGAATCAGTCGCTTTTACATCTTCTAGTGGGTGTTTATGGGAACTGCAGGGCAAGCAAAGGGCTAGAGGTAGGATACACACTGAACAGGACACCAGTGCATCTGGTGGCAGAAACACAGACACACACACTTGCACCTACAGTTTTCCCGGAAGCCAATTAACCGACCAGTATGTCTTTGGACTGTGGAAACCGGAGAACCGGGAGGAAACTTACACAAGCAGTGGGAGACCATACAAACTCCACACAGACAGCACCCCAGGTACAGAACTGAACCCAGCACCTGCAAGGCAGCAATACTGGCCACTGCACTACTGCGACACCCCTGTTTGAAACATTGATGTTAATTACATTTTACTGTTTGAACTGGAGTCGAGAGAAGTTTGGAACTGAGGTCAGTGGTTTCAAAGGGCCCCAAGAGGACTTGGTGGTTGTTAAGTGTCTCCGCCGGGTCTCTGTTTTTTATCATCCCAGTCAGATTTGCTACCATTCTCAAAAGCTGGAAGCAGACCATGTCCAGCCTCACTGAATGGTTGAACTGTCAGGGGGAAGTGATGGTCATGAGTCCAGAATGTCTTGCTTTTACCTTGGGCACTGCAGTGTCCTGCCTCAGCAAGGTGTACCACCCAAATGTTTCTGTTCTTGTACAAAATGTCCACCTCATCTGAAATTCCCTGTTGTTTCACCCCTTGTGTTTCCTATTTGATGCATTTCACATAGTCCGTTGTAACAGAAAACAGATCGAAGGAAAGAGATCAGTGTGATACAAGTCTTAAATTTCTCCCCTGCTATGACAAAGGGGAACACCCAAGGAAAACTTAGAAAAAGATGTTATTCTGAAAAGGCTTTAAAATGAAATATTTGCAGACCATTCCTGTCACATTCAAGTGTTAAAGGCATTTCTCCAATTAATTCATTTTTGTGGAGTTTTTCCCACTGGGACTGTTCAAAAAGAGAAATAATAATAAAGGACTGGAATATGTTATACAGTGTAAGCACCGTTTTTTCTGAGTGAATATGTACTGTAAGTCACGAATGTCTATCCAGTAATGATAACAAATGACTGGTCCTGTTATTTTTAATACTCTTCATCAATTTCTGTAATTTGCAAATCATTTATCTCCAAGAATATATGTACTCTTTTTAAAATGACAGATTCCCAGATATCCTATAGTGCACGCAATGTGATTTTTAAAACATTTAGCTCCAGGGCAAAGTTTGCTTCTGCCATTTCTAAAGTAAAATTCTGGCAAAACAAAAAGGCACAAGTATGGAAAAACTGAAATCATGTATTAAAAAAAATATTGTACTTTGGAAATTCAGCTGAATTTTTTGTGGAATGAAAAATGGATCAAGTTGTGCCATGGAGAATAAACTTTGAAAACTTGTCCAACATTACGCCATGTCATAAGACCTGGGCTGTTCATAGAATTTCATTTCTTTAGTGACAAATAAATTCCTTTTTTGGGAAAAAATATTATAAATCCAGGCTTTCTGTCCAGTTTCCCTCCTCCTTGTCTGCAAACAGGAAGCCTCACATCACGCGCCATTTATTTTCCATAAACAAGCCATGTAGAGGAGACAGTCAACAGAAAAGTCCCAATATTGCCGTTTGGATAAGTTTTAAAACAGCTGGCTACTCGTCAAACATTACTTCAGGCACAGACAGGCAGTTGGGGTCCTCAGTTCGCTATTGACATATCTGGTCGTGTGAAAAAAGCGAAACCCAAAATCTTTATTGCAAGATAATGAGAACCCGTTATTCGAAGAACACACATTTGTACATGGAAAGAGAGGGAACTTCATGTAATTTTGCTTTCCTTATAAATTCTGGAGTAAAACCGAAAATCACGGGTCACAGCCTAAAAGAAAGACACACACACAAAAAAAAATTGTTGCCGTGCGGATAAACGTGGAACAAAATCTTTTACATTCGTAAAGATGACATAATTCAGCGTAATCCTAACCGTGTACCTAAAATTTGGCAAAAGTCAAAACAAATAATATTGGTACTGTATATGAATAAAGATAATTCTGCCTTTCCACGACTAGTTACTGTAGTTTACTTAAGAAGATAATAAGTTTTTTCCTTCGACAGCCCCACTGCACCAGGTGCAGCTGTGTTGGAATTCTTGTTTTCTTCACCAGAATATTTTTCCTCTAAAGGAAGCAACGTTTCACCCAGACCCAACGGTCTTTGGTGAACATTAATTCAGTAAGGCTGGTTGGTTTAAATATAAAATATTTGACAAAGTATCCTTTCTTGACAGCGTCTCCCTTCGAAGTGTTTGCTTTTTAACAAGGTCCCGGATTGGTTAACCGTCGGGTTGTTCAAACTAATTGCGGGTTAGCTCAGTAGCACTGCCCCCACCTCGGCAAGAAGGCCTTTCTAAATTGTGCTTTTTTTTTTCCTCCGAGCGGCTTTTTTGAATTTAAAATTTGCCGAGGAAGACGAGAAAGAAAGAGGAAAGACCACTCTGTATCTAATTGCTCCTTCTTTTTTTGTGGGAGAAGTGGACACAGGAGAGAAACCGATGGCTTCCGAGGAAGCACGTACAAGGTACAGTTTTTAGTTTGAGAGCGTTCAAGTGTAACAGGATTTGTACTGTACAGTATATTCAACACTGAAGTAGAGACATATCTTTTTAGGAATATTGGTGTAATGTTTAGGAATACGAGGTCAGTGACTGCTGTTATATAATGCTATAGAGTACGCGTGTTCTACAAGTTTTTTAGTTGTAACAGAAATACGGTCTAATTGTTTTTATTTTTGCCAGACTGTGTCTTTAAGGAAATTACTTCGCTTCAGATAAAGTTTTATTTTTAACGCTTATCTATCTTCAGAAGTTCCGACGGGATATTTTGCTATGGTTTATTGTCTGTTACTCCAAATAATTCCTCCGGGCGTGGAGTCTCCATCCAAATTGTTACTTATAATTTACATTGAACTCTGCAACATTGTAGTCGTCTTTGTTCCCTTTCTCTTCTTTTTGTTGACAAAATAACTGATATTGTTGCTGGTTACATTGGAAGGAGGTTCGCTGTGTACAGTGTGTTGGATTCAAGTCTGCTCCCCTCCTTAGGCAGTAGGTGACGGATATTATTGTTTTTTTTCTCTCGTTGCCTTTGAGGTTTGAGTGGCAAACCGTAACCAACCTATTTCATTTTGCACAATAATAGGTTAGCCCTCCTGCAGATGGAGTATCGGGTAGAACCAATTGTATTACACCTCGTTTGAAAACATTCCCATATTTTTGCTGTTCAGATGTAGGAAAATCCTTTTTCGTTTCTTATAAATCGTCAGTGAAGTATGAATCCCGTTTCTTATAAGGAAATATACTGTTGACCTCTTCATATGCACTATGTTTACTATACTTAACTACAGTAACTACAGTATGAATGAGTAAGGTATGTTATGTACGTGAATGAATTGAACTGAAATAGCTGTAATAGTAAATATCTCATGTTTACGTGGAAATCCATTTCAAGCCCCAAATGCTATACATTAGAAAGAAATAAAGAGACCTGGGACCAAAGAGGTTCAGGATCATTTGAAAAAATAAAATAAAGAGAAAGTAGTTTAAAGAAGAAACATGCTGCTTTCTTTACCCTGTTTTACCTTCTAACCCCTTCTTATCCTTGCTTTGCCCTCTCCTGTACTGGCATTTATTCAGAGGAAAGAAAGCTTTGACAATGCAGTATTTGCAGTGCTGATGTTTTGTTTTCGTTTGTGTCTAGACAGTATTCTGGACTCTTGTAGCAGAGAAGCAAAGGAGAACACCCGTTTAGCTGCTTTTGAATTAGTTCTGGTTGTCGGCCTGTGGCTACGATGCCACCTTCATCTCAAGTTACCTTTACATTTAACGGTATTGAAAAGCCAGCGGTGTATCTACATGGGCTGATTTTTTTTTTGTCTTCTGTTGAGCCAGAGATTTTGAGTACCACTTAGTTAAAATGGAGTGAGATGATTTCTCATTTTCATAGCCTCTGAATACTATTTCTGTACTATTTAAAGCATTTTGAAAAGAAACAAAAACTCAATGTTTGGAAACTTAAGGCTCGTTTCAGAAAACATCTGAGTGAAATCAGACTATAACCTTTTAGAGGCAGATTAATAACAGATTTACTCATACTGAGGAGCATAGCCCCAGAATTACATGTGCTGTATTTCTCATCAATAGCTAAGTGTCTTCTGGGTGATAAAAGATGGTGATTGAAATGCCTTGTTTTCCCATTCATGGTAGCTGGGTTGAGATTTGATATTTGAGAGCAATCTGTGGATTATTGTCTAATCCTGCTGTCCTACGAAAGCTGTTACATGCTTATCACTCAATGGACCTGAAACGTTCGGGATCCATTGGTTCATATACT